TCTCAGTTTCTACTGTTTTCCTTTATTAATAGTATAATCATTCCAGAGAGTTTATTGCCCAAATGTTTAAAACTCACCTTCCAAAATAGTTTTATTCAACATATCTTTTACCATCAGATGCATTTTTATCCTCAAAACTCTTGTTTATTTTGTTTAATTACAAGTTGCCACTAAGAGTCATGTGTGGTGGTATATGCACCTTTAATTCTAGTATTTGGGAGACAGCCAGGCAGATCTCTGTGGGATCTAGTACAGCCTGGTCTGCATAGGAAATTCCAGGCCAGCTGGGGCTACACCAAGACCCTGTCTCAAACAAAAGTTCTTTTCTTCATTTTCTCCCCCCCCCCCAATTTCTTTCTTTACTTTTGCCTCTCTTTCCTCCTCTCACAGAGTCTTGCTAATGGATTCCATGTTTCCCTCCAATTTATAATCCTCATATCTCATCCTTTGATGTACTGAGATTTCAGGCGTTTATCATCATATCCTACTTCTCAGAAGCATATTTTGCATGTCTGTTACAAAGAAAACTTTTGAATCAGTGATCTGTGAGTACTAGAGCATACTATATTGAAAGCTCTAAGTGATTAGGATAGTATACAGCACAATTTCTCAGATTTTTGTGCTCTGGTATCTTGTATGTCAAGGAGGAAAGGGTGAAGAAAAATAATAGTAACAGTACTAGCAACCACTTATGTAAAATTATTAAATTGAAATTAATAGAATTATTATTGACATAGTGAAGTAAAAGAATTTAGTGAGATTGTTTCTCTTTAGTTGTACATGCTTTTGATATTTTATTATTTTCTAAGAAGAATAGGAGTTTTTACATGTAACAACTCACTATGATGGTGTCTTTTCCCAGATCCTTTAGATTATAATGCCCAATACAGCAGTAATGATCTCCATGAAACTAATTTAAAATTCAGCTCCCCACTTGAAGTGTTCATAAGCTACCTGTGGCTGGTAGCTGTCATATTGGGCAATGTAAAATCCAGACATGATCATAGGAATCTGTCAGTCCTTTTTGATTGATTGACAACTCCCCCCCTCACACACACACCAATTTTGAATTCAAAATGGAAGTCTGAATAAACTTTTTAAACTTATGAAAACAATACTTTTCTTATTTTCTAATGATCTCCCACCAGCCATCAATTGCCAAAAGTTTGTTGGGTTGAGTTGGGATCTCTTACCCAATTCTGCATGCTTGTGGCATTTTTGTCTAGTTTGAGCTTGTTTAGGATTTGTGCATGTTTTCACTACTGCTCCGAGTTCATAGGCATAACTGAGAGTTGGAAGACTCTTGTTTTCTTGTGGTCATCCCTCTGACTTTTACAATCTTTCTGCTTTCTCTTCCACAATGATCTCTTAGCTTTGGGAGGTTTGAAGTATCCTAACCAGGGATAAGCATTCTGTAGCCTCTTGTTCTCTGCTCGTTGGCCAATTTCGGGTTTCTGTGTTAATCACTGTCTGTTGCACGAGGAAACTTCTCTGGTGAGTTGAGAGATGCATTCATCCTATGTATAGAGGTTGCATTGAAGTTGTGTCACTTAGGGTTAAGTGTCTCATAGACACTGACCAGTTTTGGAACTCTGTAAAAGTCTCCATCTGTTGCAAAGAGAAGCTTCTTTGATGAGAGGTGAAAGATATATTTATATATATAACGATGTATATGTAGAATATAGTAAGAAATTATGTTGGTCTAGGGATGTGGCAGAAGTAGGATTTACTAGGATCTATGAGCTCTCTAGCCAAACAGTACCAACATGAGTTTCTTCCCATTGAGTGGGCCTTAATTCCAATTAAACAGCTATTGATTACCCCCAAGATAAAGGTGCCAGTATTACACCAATAGCAATAGTTTGTTGGGCCAGTCATTGTTGTTTGTTAGGCTTTATAACCGGGTATGACTATTGATGGTTTCCTCCCTTGGCAACTTGATACCTCTGATGCTATGAGAGCTAGTCTTCAGGGAGGAAACTTCCAGGTCAGTTCTAGCTCAGTTGCTCGAAGTCCTGTGTCTGAAGTGTGGCCTGTCTGTAGCAATAAGGTCTTATCTTCCAAGTTCTGGGAGGCAGTCAAAGGCTGTGGTAATAGCCTATGTTAATTTTGGGAGTCTTGGAGACTACCCTGGCCAACAACTCAAAAGAACGTTTTTCTTGTTATGTAATCTCCAGCTATACATACCAACTCATGTAGAGGTATTATGTGTGTAATTCTTTAGTAGTTTTTTGGATTAATATCATTCCCTCTGGTTTTCTTATACCAGCTAGGCATTATTTATCTTTCTTCACTCCTCCTGTATAACACTTGCTAATCCATCCCCAGTTAAAGTACTCTCTTTCCCCCATTTCCATCCTTAATAATATCTGCCTCCTACCAGTTCTTGTATTATCTGACATACAAAAATCTATTTGGCATAAATCTACCACTGAAATGTTTGTAGACAAGCAGTTTTTAAAAGGATGGTGCTCAGTTCAGCACATACACTAAAATTGGACCCAATATAGAGATTAATGTGACCTTTGCACAAGGGTAATATGAAAATTTGTAACATTTCATATATTAAAATAAGATTTCCTGTAATTTGAAGAATATATTAAGTGCTTAAAACAGAAAAAGAATATATACAAAACAAATATAAAAGTGGAATTTGTTAAAATTGTTAACCTACAGGAAATAAAGGCTTTCAAGTTTCAGAAAGGTACTTACTTTAATAAAATTAATTATAACAATGATTTTTAAAAAAAAAAAAACCAAAAAGTCTCACATACTTACCTCAGGAATAGCATGTTTGCCCAGTATGCAGGAGGCCCTGAGTTCAATCTTACTGCTCCTCCAGAGAAAAAGAGAGAGAGAGAGAGAAAAGACAGAGAAAGATTGATTGATTTCAGCCAAATACATACTCCATTTTTGTTGACGGTCATGTCTTTAACAGTGTTGAAAAATGCCGGCTTTTTATTTCCTAGAACGTCCCTCAGTTTGACTTTATCTTATTTTTCCTTGTAATTCAATTCAAGATATGTGTCTTTGACAAATATACCCAAAATTTCAGTTTATTCCAGTACTGATGATAGGCTCTTTGATCATCTGATTAGATTCATGTTTGCAGGAATCTTTACTGTGCCGAGTGTAGTTCTCCCTCTGGATTCATGGAATTGTGTTTGGTTGCTTCTAGGGTCCTTATTCCAAAATCAAGGATGCATATGTCATTTCAGTACAACAGTGTAATATGTGCATATCACTTACACACATGATCTTACATGCTTAAATCTCTAGATTATGCCAGGCTTGGTGGTACATGCCTTTAATCCCAGCACTCAGGAGGCAGAGGCAGGTGGATCTCTGTGAGTTCAAGGCCAGCCTGGTCTACATAGTGAGTTCCAGGACAGCTGGGGCTACAGGGAGACCCTGTCTCAAAAAGACCAAAAAATATATATATTAATATATATTAATACCTAAAGCAACATAAATGTTCTATAAATAGTAGTTATACTGCCAGTTGTAGTGGTATACCCTTGTAATCCCAGCACACAGATGATAAGTTCCAGGCCAGCCTAAGCTACATAATAGCGAGATTCAGTCTCCCCTGACCCCTCCTCAAAAAGAATTATTATATTTTATTGTTCAAGGTATAATGACAAGGAAAAAAAATCTGTATGTTCAGTATAGAAGAAAGTCTGTTTTTTCCCCCCAAATGTTTTTGGTCTATGTTTAGATGTGCCTGCAGATATTGAGAGCCCAACTTGCCCTAAACAGGAAAAGAAAAATCTACTTTGTGGGCAGCCATTTTAAGACATTATAAATGGTAATTCTTTATTGGGGGCGGGGTCTTTTAAGACAGGGAGATCCTATAGCCCCAGCTGGAACTCACTATGTAAACCAGTCTGGCCTTGAACTCACAGAGATCCACCTAGCTCTGCCTCCCAAATGTTGGAATTAAAGGTGTGTATCACCATGCCTGGCTGTTTGTTTTTTAAGGAACAGTCTTATATGTCTCAAGCTAGCTTCAATCTTGAGAGCCTCCTAAGTGCTGGGATTATAGGCATGCCCCTACCACACCTAAATCCTCACTATTTTTTAAAAAATTAGTAAAGCCGAGTATACCTTTAATCCCAGTGCTTGGGAGGTAGAGGCTGGCAGATCTCTGTGAGTTCAAGGCCAGCCTGGTGTACATAGTGAATTCCAGGAAAGCTAGGCCTATAGGGAGATCCTGTCTCAAAAAAAAACAAAAAGAAAAGAAAGTAACTGGGCATGGTGATGCACATCTTTAGTCCCAGCACTTGGGAAGTAGAGGCAGGCTGATCTCTGTGAGTTCAGGGCCAGCCTGGTATACATAGCAAGGTCCAGGTCAGCCAGGGCTACACGGAGATCCTGTCTCAAAAAGACCAAAAGGAAAAAATTAGAAAGTAAAAGTCATGGCCAGATTCCCTCTCCCCCCTCCACATATGTATGTATACACACCACACTTAACTTACGGTGGGTAAATGCGGAGGCCAGAGGAAAGCCTAGAATGTTGTTCTTTAGTCACTGCCCATCTTCTTTTGAGCACACCAAGATTAGAGTAGGTTAGCCTGTCTCTGCCTCCCAAATCCTGGGACTATAAGTACATAGTACTGCTTTTAACTTTTTTACATGGGGTGTATAATAAATACTTTAGTGACTGAGTCATCTCCCTAGCCCCATGTTATTTTTTGGTTTTTGGGTTTTTTTTTAACTTTTCGTGTAAACTTAAAGCAACTTTCTTAGCTATTGTTTTGGTTTTGGGTTTTTTTTTTTTTAACTTTTCGTGTAAACTTAAAGCAACTTTCTTAGCTATTGTATTACTGTGACTAAAAGGTAACTTGCCTGACTATAAGGTTAAGATTTATGCATCCAGATCAGATGAGAGTGTTTATCTTTTTAATTTAACTATTCATGTGTTTTTTGTCATCTTTGTTTTAGGATTCATACAGTATTTCTGTGTTATTAAAAGCATTGGTTTTTGCATTGTTCTCTAGAGAGCCCAAGCTGCACTTCAGGCTGTCAGTGCTGCCCAGTCAGGAAACCTGGCCCTTCCTGGAGCTCCTTCTAATGAAGGCACAGTGCTACCTGGGCAAAGCCCTGTGCTCCGAATAATTATTGAAAACCTCTTTTACCCTGTCACCCTGGAAGTTCTTCATCAGGTAAGGAGTAATACTCTTCTGACCACAGGATCAAATGTGGCCTCTTTAGCTTTTGATATTCAATGCCTATGTTCTTTAGATTATTATTTGGTTGATAAAACTTTTTTTTTTGTCTTTTAGAGACAGGGTCTCCCTGTAGCCCCAGCTGTCCTGGAACTCACTGTGTAGACCAGGCTGGCCTCAAACTCACAGAGATCCGCCTGCCTCTGCCTCCCGAGTGCTGGGATTAAAGGTGTGCGCCACCACGCCCAGCTTGATATACTTTTTTAAATAATAAATATTTACCATCCTGTTTCATAGAAGAAATCGTATCAATTAAAGATATTTTTTGATGGCCTCCTTTTTCTAATTTGAATTCTTGATTTCAAAAGAAGGCCAGGTGTAGTGGTGGTACATCCTTTAATCCCAGCACTCAGTAGTCAGAGGCAAATGGATCTGTGAGATGGAGGCCAGCCTGGTCTATATAGCGAGTGAGTTCCAGGCCAACTGAGGCTATAGGAAGACCCTGTCTCAAAAAGACCAAAGGGGGGCGGGGGGGATAAGAGTGGAGTGGCAGGGCTTGGGGTATAACTGAGTGGTAGAACATGTAGCCTGAAGAACTTTCTATGCATGAGGTCTTAGGTTCGATCCCTAGTACCAGTAATTGTAGTAATACCCAACACTGGTTGGGGGAATAGTAAGAAATTCCCATTTTAACCTGGTGTGGTGGCACAAAACTATAATCCTAGTTCTGGGAAGGCAGAGATAGAAGGAAATTATTTTGGACTTTGTTTTGTTGTTGTTTTGTTTTTTGAAACAGGATCTTGTTTTATAGTCCTGGCTGGTCTGTAACTTTCTGTATGGACCAAACTGGTCATTTTCTTTTTCCCAAACTGGTTTTTAAAATCACAGAAATTCACCTACCTCTTCCCCCTGAGTATTGGAAATACAGCATAATTTTTAAATAGCTAAGCATGAAAAATGAAGAAAGAATAGTATCCTACATAAATCCTAGGTAACAGTTGTTCCATGTCACAGTAGAGTACAATTAATTTTTTTCAGTTGACCCCCTGTTACATTTCAGTATTTTGGGTTTAAAAATTCTAAAGGGGTGCCAGTAACCTTCCCCCATCACATATTAAGCCCACTATCTAGCACATGCTAAGCAGGTACTCTGTTATTTAATAACAAGCATTTTAAACTCTTATATGTCAGGAATTGTACTTAATGATACAGAAAGGATTAAGACGATATATTCTTCAAGGAGCTTTTATCTAACCTTAGCTTGAGTAAAATTTCTAGGAATATTGAAATCACAAGGATGAGTATAGAAGTCTCAATCACTTGATATATTTTGAAAAACATAATAGACAGTTCTATAATTTTGATGTAAATAGTGTTTTTAAAATAAAGTCAGGCCAGGCGTGGTGATGCACGCCTTTAATCCCAGCACTTGGGTGGCAGAGGCAGGCAGATCTTTGTGAGTTCGAGGCCAGCCTGGTCTACATTGTGAGTTCCAGGACAGCTGGGACTAGAAGGAGATGAGCTTGTATAGGTAAACCCTGGCAAGATTATGCTGTCTACAAGCCTGGATTCTATTATGTAGATGATAGAAATGTAGTGAAGGATTTTTTTTTTTTTTTGGTCTTTTTGAGACAGGGTCTCCCTGTAGCCCCAGCTGTCCTGGAACTCACTGTATAGACCAGGCTGGCCTTGAACTCACAGAGACCCACCTGCCTCTGCCTCCCGAGTTGCCTGGGGTGAAGGATTTTAAGAAGGAAATTCAATCTGATTTATAACTTAGAATACTAGGCAGCCATGTGAAGGAGAGAAGTGACCATTATTAGCCCCTATCCCTTTTTTAGCTTTAAAAAAAGAAGTCTGGAGGCTAGAGAGATGGCTCAGTGGTTAAGAACATGGGCTGTTCTTGCAGAAGACCCAGTTTCTAATCCCAGCACCCACATGGCAGCTAACAACTGTCCATAACTCCAGTTCCAGGGGATCTGACAGCCTCTTCTGTTCTCTGCGGGCATTGCGTGACATGGGTGCACTTACCTACATGCAGGCAATACACACATACACATAAAAATAATAAATAAAATTTTTTTTTTTAAGTATAGGGACTGGAGAGATGGCTCACTGGTTAAGAGCACTGGCTATTCTTGCAGAGGACTTGGGTTTGGTTCCCAGCACCCACAGGGCAACTAACAACCATCCTTAACTCCAGTTCTAGGGGCTCTGACGCCCTATTCTGAACTCCTTGGGCATTGCATGACACAGATACACTTATATACATGCAGGCAATACACACATATGCATAAAATATAAAAAATGAAAAAACTTAAGTTTATTTTTGTGTATGTGTGTGCATGTCCATGTCATCTATGTGTGGAGGTCAGAGGACAACTCGCAGAAGTCATTTCTCTCCTTTCACCGTCTGGGTTCCAGGGATCAAACTCAGATCATCAAGCTTGACTGCATGCACCTTTACCCACTGAGCCATTCTACCAGCCTCCTTTCTTTTACTTTTTCTCTTTTTCAGCCTGGGCTTTGGGATTATTACTTTTGAGAATTTATTTATTTATTTATTTAGTCATTTAAAAGCTAGACCCCGGGGCTGTTGAGATAGCTCAGAGGTTAAGAGCACTGGCTGCTCTTACAGAGGACCCAGATTTGATTCCCAGCACCCACATGATGACTAACAGCTATCGCTAACTCCAGTTCCAGGGGAATCTGATCTCTTTCTTCTGACCTCCATGGGCATTGTATGACATGGGCATACTTATATACATGCAAGCAATAGATTCATACATGTAAAATAAAAATAATAAACATTTTTTGAGAAAAAAGCTAGACCAATTGCCTATTAAGATTAACGGTTAGGCCAGGTGTGGTGGCGCATGCCTTTAATCCCAGCACTTGGGAGGCAGAGGCAGGCCTGGTGAGTTCAAGGCCAGCCTGGTCTACATAGTGAGTTCCAGGACAGCTAGGGCTACAGGGAGACCCTGTATTAAAAAGACCCCCCCCCCCAAAAAAAAAAGATTAACGCTTAGTAATAGTAAAGTCTTACCAGCCTGAGCAGTGCTTACCCTTTTTATTTTCAGGAGCAGAGAGACAAATTTCTGACTCATTAAGATCCAAATATAAAATAAAATTCTGTTTTATGCTACCTAGTCTGTTAGAATTAGTTACTGGTAACCCTAGTCACGTGTCTTTGTAGTACTTAGGTGAACTAGTTTTGATAAGCTTAGTAACTAGATCTGTCAGGAAGATTTCTCCATACTCTTTTTCCTCTTCAGCAAGTCCTCCCTTGGCCACTTCCCTGCTCTTGCATTTGTACTCACCCTTTCTCTTTTATTGTTTTTCATAATACTTTTATATGACCAAACATCATTGCATCCTTTGGTTATTTATTGTCCCAATAAAGACAGATTTTTGTCTGTGTTGTTCACCTTTAACTTACCAGTGCTTAGAACAGTATTCTATACTTAATTAATTAATTGAACAGCTCTCATTTGAATATCTTGTTTCTATTCATAGAAACCTTCATAAGTAGCTGCTGACTCATAGGGTGAAGTAGTTGATCCATTTGACTTTCTCGTTTCCATTCATTCACCATTATTTCAGTCTGTCAGTTAATTACCGTGACCTCCTTCTATATTTGTGCAGTCCCATTTGTACGTGCTATAAAATTGATTTGTTAAATGTTTGAGTGCCTGTTGTGTACCAGGCACTATAATACATCCACGGTTTATCATAAGGCTTGTCTTAAGACATTTTTGTACCAAAAGTTTTAATGGAGAAAAAGAATTTTCATTTAATATATTAATAAGGCTCATAGCCTTGTGTGGTAGCACATGCTTAGAATTTTAGCACTTGGGAAGCTGAGGCAGGAGGAGTATGAATTTGAGGCCAGCCTGAGCTACTCAGTGAGAAATTGTTTCAGTAACTAAAACCATAGTGACCCAGATAATGGATCCCTCTAATCCTAGTACTAGGGAGGTAGAGGCAGAAGGATCAGGAGTTTAGGGCTAGCCTTGGCTACATAGTGAGTTTGAAGTTACATGGGGCCCTGCCTCAAAGAATCAGAAAAACAAAATGGGATTCATGAATGAAGATGTATTTATAAAGGTACATTGATTTAAGATTTTTCCTTAGATTTAATGTGAACTTTTTTTTCCAGATATTTTCTAAATTTGGCACGGTCTTGAAGATTATCACCTTTACAAAGAATAATCAATTTCAGGCCTTGCTTCAGTATGCTGACCCATTGAATGCACATTATGCCAAAATGGTAATTATGTTTTTTTATTTTTCAATGACTGTTAGTAATTCACTTTAGAGATAGTTGAAGGAGGCCATCACATCTTATTTGTTCCAGTTTATCTTTTAGGGTTTTTTTTTGCTGATGGTGTTTTTGTGGTTTTTCAGGGGAGGGGTTGCATTTTGATCATTGTTAATAGCATAGTTCCATGTGTTCCTTTTTTCTAAGCTAGAAATTATTACTTTCTTCATAGGAAATAACCAGTGCTATCAACTTCTCAGATCTCTGAGACTTATTCCTATTTGTCATGTTTAAAGTCTACACTTAAACATGGTACTCCTGATGAAACCTGACTGATAAAGCAGAATTTTGATGTTGTTCCTTCCTTTACTTGTATTCAGTCAACTTGAGATTGATTTATTTTTGTAACCACATTCAGCTCTCATTCCTGTTGAATTCTAAATTGGTAAAGACATTAAACCTTAAGAAGTAAGCTGCTATCAATTTATGTTGCCTTTTTTTTTTTTTTTTTTTTTTAAGTGCATGAGTCTTTGATTTGTTTTGATGAGCTAAAAATGTATTCAGGGGGCTGGAGAGATGTCTCAGCGGTTAAGAACACTGGTGGTTCTTGCAGAAGATCTGGGCTTGAATCCCAGCACCCACATGGCAGCTAACAACGGTCCTAACTCCAGTTCCAGGGGATCCAACAGCTCCTGTCCTCCATGGGCATTTCATGACGGGGGTGCACTTACCTACACACAGGCAGTACACACATACACATAAAATAAAAATAATAAATTAAAAAAAATTTTTTCTAAAGTTCCATTCAGAGCAGGGGGAGTGGGGGAGATTGCAGGGATGGGGGTGGGAGGCCACACACGCCTTTAGTCCCAGCACTCAGGAGGCAGAGGCAGGTGGATCTCTGTGTGGTCAAGGCCAGCCTGGTCTACATAGCAAGTACCAAGTCAGCTGGGGCTACAGGGAGACCCTTTCTCAAAAGGACCAAAAAAAATAAAAATAAAAAATGTTGGTTGTTTTAGACAGTTTCTTTGGAGAGCTGTTATAATTATATCTTGTATTGGTTTCTGAATCATTTTTTAGTTTCTGCTTAGAGATAGAGCCTAAAGTTTAACATACTTTGTTTCATGCATTTTGTGGCACTCAGGAATGTAGCCTTTATATTTCCTATACCATCTAGCTGCATATTTGTTTTATATTACTTTTGTGTATCATGCTTTGATTTCCTGTATGTATTTTAATAAGTTGAAGTCTTTATGGAAGCAACCACTAGCCACAAATAGCCCATTTTATTCTTTTTTTAAAATTTTTATTTATTTTATGTATATGAGTGTTATGCCTGTATGTAGGTAAGTGCACCCATGTCATGCCATGCCTGCGGAGGACCGAAGAGGCTGTCGGATACCCTGGAAATGAGTGTGGGTGCTGGGATTCGAACCTGGGTCTTCTGAGAGAATAGTCAGTGTTCTTAACCACTGAGCCATCTCTCCAGCCCCAATTCTTAAAAACAGAATTACTTATCTTTGGCCACAGCTGACTCCAAATTTCCTTCATTATTCAAAGTAACAAGTACAAAAGAAAAAATATGCAATAGAAAATATTTTTATGATCCGGGCGTGGTGGCGCATGCCTTTAATCCTAGCACTTGGGAGACAGAGGCAGGCGGATCTCTGTGATTTTCAAGGCTAGCCTGGTCTACATAGTGAGTTCCAGGACTTCACTGGGGCTTCAGGGAGACCCGGTCTCAAAAAGACCAAGAAAAATTTTTTTTGTTATGACTGACAAATATTGCAGTGATGTTTCATCTTAACCTATATAAATAATACTAAAATGAAGTTGAAATATGAAATTTACATCTTTAAACATATTTGCTGTAAGCAAAATAACCATAGTAATAGTGTTTCTATAGTATTGTAGAATAGTTTTCCAAGCTTATCTGTCTCTTCTCTCATTTGATCTGGCCAGTTATAATGAAGGTAGTAAACCTAGATCTTTCTCCTTTGCTCTTTGCTTAATACTGGATTGCCACTCTCTGTCAAGGTGGAGGCGACCTCAGTTTTCAGTGTGGTCTTGCCAAAACATCAGTCCTTTCTCATATGCTTCAGGCTCTGGATGGCCAGAATATCTATAATGCATGCTGCACTCTGCGTATTGACTTCTCCAAGCTCACCAGCCTTAATGTGAAATACAATAATGACAAAAGCAGAGACTTCACTCGCTTAGACCTTCCTACTGGTGACAGCCAGCCGTCTCTTGAAACCCCGATGGCTGCTGCTTTCGGTGAGTAGTTCTTTTTCAGTCACAGAGGAGATTTTCTGAAGTTACAAGTTTCATTTATTAATCTGTGTTGGCCTATTTCTTCTTGAGTTCTCTCCAAATTTCAAAAGGAAGGGAAGAATTGTGAAACATATGTGCCAATTAATTAAATCTTAATATATAAGGTATTCCTATTAGTTGAGAATCACAAATAAACCTAAAATTATGTTGTTCCAAATTATATTCTAACATTAACACATTAATATTACTCAAAAGCTTCTTACTTGCTTTCAATTAATTATTTCAGTGGTAACGTTGATTTTTAGTATGCAGGCTTACAATCAACAGAATTTTGCCACAAGTGCTCTTGGGAAACTTTTTTTTCTTTTAAATGTTTATATAAAGGCCAAAACAATGGGTGGCTGATTTTGGATATATCATTAGATTGATATGTACTACTTTTTAGCGTTACACCTCTTAAAAAAATGTGGTTTATTATTTAGGTAAAATACCGGTTTTTACCCTTGATTTATTTTCCTTTGCTAAATAAAATACCATAAGGTATTATTGACCCCTTTAGTAATATTTAACCCATACTCTTTTTTTTTTTTTTTTTTGGTCTTTTTGAGACAGGGTCTCCCTGTAGCTGCAGCTGGCCTGGATTCACTATGGGGAGACCAAGCTGGCCTCCAACTCACAGAGATCTGCCTGCCTCTACCTCCTGAGTACTGGGATTAAAGGCATGCACCACCACACCTGGCCACATACTCCTCTTTTTATAGATGAGAAAATTACAGGATTATAACAACTAACTTGTTATCCAGAATTTTCTAGAAAATAGTTTGTAACTATTTATTGTAAATTTTTTATGTTTATATGCTGATTTGGCAGAAAAGTCTTTGTTGTTATCATTTCAATAACAAAGAGATGGCTCAGCAGTTAAGAACACTGGTTGTTCTTGCAGAAGACCTGGGTTCAAATCCCAGAACCCACATGGCAGCTAACAACTGTCTGTAACTCCAGTTCCAGGGGATCCCACAGCCTCTTCTGTCCTCCACGGGCATCACACGACACAGGTGCACTTACCTACATGTAGGCAATACACGCATACACAGAAAATAAAATAAATAAGGGGCTGGAGAGATGGCTCAGCAGTTAAGAACACTGGTTGTTCTTGCAGAAGACCCGGGTTCAAATCCCAGCACCCACATGGCAGCTAACAACTGTGTCCGTAACTCCAGTTCCAGGGGATCCGATAGCCTCTTCTGACCTCTGTGGGCATTGCACTACACAGGTACACTTACCTACATGTAGGCAATACACACATACACATAAAATAAAAAACGCGCGCGTGTGCACACACACACACACACACACACACAGAATAGTGGATAAGGTGGCATATGCCTGCATTCTAAGTACTCCAGAGGCTGAGGCTAGAGGATCATGAGTTAGAGGTCATCCTGGGCTACCTAGTGAATTCAAGATCAGGTTTACTGATATAGACCCTGTCTCCAAAATAAAATTAAATAAAACAGCTGTGGTGGGGGGTGGCATAGGCCTTTAATCCCATCACTTGGGAGGCAGAGGCAGGTAGATCTCTGTGAGTTCAAGGCCAGCTACATAGCTAGTTTCAGGCCAGCTGGGGCTACAGGATAACCCTGTCTCAAAAACAACAACAAAAATTAAAACAGCTAAAACAATTAAAAAGAGGCTGAGCATAGTGTTGTACACTTTTAGTCCCAGCACTCAGGAGGTAGAGGCAGGCAGATCTCTGTGAGATTGAGGCCAGCCTAGTCTACCTAGCAAATTCCAGGCCAGCTGGAGGTATAGGGAGACCCTGTCTTAAAGAAAAGAGAAGAAAAAAGATGGACTAAGGATAATGTTCTTCTGGTGGCATGCTTGCTTAGCATTTGCTAAGCCCAAGATTTCAATCTTTGATACTGCAGAATAAATGAAGTTAGCTATTGTATTAGTTACTCTTCTGTTGCTATGTTAGAAACACATGACCAAGGAACTTACAAAAGGAACAGTTTATTTAGCTTACAGTTCCAAGGGGGCAAGAGTCCATCATGGCAGGGAGGCATGGTGGCAGAGGTGGCTGGAGTAGAAGCAGAAGCTAAGCTCTCACATCTCTAAGCAGGCACAAGAGGCAGAGTGACTGGTGATCTGCCAAGGCTTAAGACCGGTCTGTGCCCACCCCCAGTGACATCCTTCCACACCTTCCAGTGTGGCCACACCTGAGATCTCCCAAAACAGCTCCAATAGCTGGGGACAGAATGTCCGAATACCTGGAGCCCATGGGGGACAGTATCATTCAAACCACCACAGCTATGTGATTTAAATAGTTGTTTTTAAATTTTATTTATTTTGTGTTTGTGCAATCACATGACACTGTGCTTGTGGAAGTCAGTTTTCTCCTGCCATGTGGGTCTTGAGGATCAAACTGAGATTTTCAATTTTAGGGGCATGTGCCTGTTACCACCGAAACATCGTTTTTAAAAAATATATATTGGGGCTGGAGAGATGTCTCAGTGGGTAAGAGCACTGACTGCTCTTGCAGAGGACCTGGGTTCGATTCCCAGCACCCACATGGCAGCTACGAACCATTTTTAACTCCAGTTCCAGGGGAATCGAAGCCCTCTTCTGACCTTTGCAGCATTGCACAACATGGGTGCACTCACATACATGCAGGCAGTACACTCATACACATAAATTAAAATAAATATATATATATAAAATGGGGCTGGAGAAAGAGCTCAGCACATAAGAGCACTGACTGTTCTTGCAGAGGACCCGTTTTCTATTCCAGCACCCAACTGTCTGTAACTCCAGTTCCAGAGGCTCTGATACCCTCATCTGATCTCCATGGGCATTGCATAACACAGGTGCACTTGCAGATAATACACACATACACATAAAATAAAAATAATAAACTATTATAAAATATATATATATATGTGTGTGTGTGTGTTATTTGGTCTTTTTGAGACAGGGTCTCCCTGTAGCCCCAGCTGACCTGGAACTCAACTCACTATGTAGACCAGGCTGGAACTCACAGAGATCCTCCTGCCTCTGCCTCCCGAGTGCTGGGATTAAAGGCGTGCACCATCTTGCCCAGCCAAAAAAAATTTTTTTAATTTTTTAATTTTATGTCTATGAATGTATTGTCTACATGTATGTAAGTGCACCCATGTCCTGCAGTGCCTGTGGAGGTCAGACGAGGTCATTAGATGCCCTGGAACTGGAGTTACAAACTGTTGTCAGCCACCATGTGGGTGCTGGGACTCAAAGCTGGGTTCCATGCAAGAGCAATCAATGCTCTTAACCATTGAGCCATTTCTCCAGTCCCATACTGAGCCATCTTATAGGTCCACAAATTTGGGGGGAGGATGGTTTTCTAATTTAGTTTAGTTTTTATTTTTTAAATACTGTAGTATTTTTATTTTATGTGACTGAGTGAATTGCCTGCATGTATGTGAGTGTACCCATGTCATGCAATGCCGCAGAGGTCAGAAGAGGGTTTCAGATTCCCCTGGAACTGGAGTTAAGGACGATTCATAGCCGCCATGTGGGTGCTGGGAATTGAACCCAGGTCCTCTGCAAGAGCAGTCAGTGCTCTTACCTGCTGAGCCATCTCTCCAGCCCCGTTTTGTTTTATTTTTAATTTGTTTGGTAGTGGTTATGTTGATGGTGGTTTTGAGACAGGTTCTCCTCTGTGTAACCCTGACTAGCTCCTTTACTATGTAACCTAGACTGACCTTGAACTTAAATCTTCTCCCTCTGCCTCCCAAGTCTTAGAATTACAGGCATGTGCTGCTATGTCTGCCTGGTTGTATAAAGTAGTGAATTATAACAGACTGGAAATACAGGAAAATCTTCAACAAATGCTTTCTTTCTCCAAGTGAATCCTCCTATTGATCCTTACATCACACCACACTGGCAAATAATTTGAAATGGACTTTAGCCACATATATAAAACTTAAGACTGTACAGATTTCCAGAGGACACAGGAGAAAATCTTTCCAACCTGGAGGTATATAAAAGTTACCCAAACACAAAAAACATGAGTCACAAGAGGAAATGATTTGTCTTATTTACCCAACCAAAATTTAAATTGGAGGCTGGGAAAAGTAGCTCAGCTGTAGAGTGCTTGTCTATCTCATGTGAGGCCTGTGTTTCTACCCTTGGCATTGAAAAAGAAAAAGAATTCCACTGTTTGAAAAATACCAAGAATTGGAGCTGGAGAGATGGCTCAGCAGTTAAGAACACTGGTTGTTCTTGCAGAAGATCCGGCCTTGAATCCCAGCACCCACATGGTAGCTAACAACTGTCCAAAACTCCAGTTCTAGGGGATCCAACAGCCTCTTCTGACCTCCACTGGCATTGCATGACACCGGGCACTTATCAATATGTAGGCAGTACACTCATAACACATAAAATAAAAATAAAAAATTTTTTTGAACTCTCTTTATGTTTTTATTGGGTTCTGTTTTGAGTGCAACCACCACCTTAGAGCTTAATTCAAGCTTCATAAACAAACCAACTTGAGTAATAATATTTTTTAAAAAAGGAAAATACAAGCCAGGCATGGTAGTACACACCTTTAATCCCAGCACTCGGGAGACAGAGGCAGGCAGATCTCTGTAAGTTCAAGGCCAGCCTGGTCTACATAGTGAGTTCCAGGACAGCTGGAGTTACAGGGAGACCCTGTCTCATTAAAAAAAAAAAAAAAAAAAAAAAAAAAAAAAAAAATCAAGCCACAGACTTGAAGACAAATATTTTGCACACATTTTCCAGACAAATATTTATACCAAGGATAATAAGCTCATAACTTAATTACAAGGAAACAAGGACTCAATTTTAAAAAATGTTAAAAAAGCAATATATGAATGACAGTATGCACATGAAAAAATGCTCAGTTTCACTAATCTCAGAAATGTAAGATATGATTACATGTCCATTGGAATAGCTATAATTTAAGTTACTTATTCTACCAAGAATATGGCTCATCTTTGATTTCTATATTCTATTTGTGACAGTGTCAGATGATAAAACCACTTTGCAAAGAGTTTGGTAGTTCTTTAAAACATCAAATGAGGGGGCTGGGGAGATAGCCTAGTGGGTAAAGTATTCGCCACATGACTGGCAAATGAGAAGCAGGAGAACCTGAGTTTAATCACCAGTAAAAAGGCTGAGTGTGGTAGTGTATTTGGAATTCTAGAGCGGGGGAGGCAGAGGCAGGCAGATCCTTGGAGTTCACTGACCAGGCAGCTTAGCCTAGCCCTATCAGTGAGCTCCAGGTCCCAGTGAAAAACTGTCTCAGAAAACAAGGTGGATGTTTTCTGAGGAATACCTGTAGTTTACCTCTGGCTTAATGTGCACATGTACACACATACACATTCCCAAAGTTAAATGTGTACCTGTAATGTGACCTAACTATTGATCTGAATATTTATGTACCCCACAGAAAGAAAAGCTTATATTCACACAAGCACATAAAATGCAACCTACTCTATAGTGACTGAAAAGTCTCTGTTCTTGGAGACTAGTGTGGAGAGAGATGAATTACAAGGGGGTACATGATTTGTAGGAGTGATAGAAATACTTCTTATTTTCCTGATGATTGTTTCATTAACTTTAAATATAAAAACTCATCACATAGTACTTCTGAGGCATAGTGCTGAGGATTGAACCTAGGGCCTTACACAGGCAGATGGTGCACACTGAGCTTCCTCCCCAGCTGCCTCATACCTTTTATGTATGTATAGTTTATTGCATATGAATCAAATTATTTCACTTAATGCTAACCAACTCGCAAAGGTTCTCATTTTTTTCAGAGTTGGTGTCCCCATCCTTATATTGTACTATAAATTCCTGTACCATCTATGTCACATTTCATCTTTTTGACATCTCTTCTGGTACTCCTTCCTTTGTCCCCAGAACACTGACATTCCTTCTTTTCCTCAAGCATGCTGTGTATACTCTTTACAAATCATGCCATTGGTTCTTTGTTGTGCCTGGAGTGGTTTTCCCCTAGATTTTTCTCATGTAACCTTCTCTCAGTATTTCTGATGCACTATTCTTCTCACATAAAATTCACTTATTTTGTATGTTAACTGTTTTATAATTATTAAGCTTCACCAGGGGGCTGGAGAGATGGCTCAATGATTAAGAGCACTGACTACTCTTGCAGAGTTCCCGGGTTTGATTACCAGCACCCACATGGTGGCTAACAACTGTCGTTCAGTTCCAGGGGATCTGACACTTTTCTTCTGAGGTCCATGGGCAATACATGACATGGGTGCACTTACACACATGCAGACAATACACTCACACAAATTAAAAATAAAATAATAAAATATTTTTTAGAAAATAGATTCACCAGGACAGACGAGAAAGGGTATCTATTTGGTTTACTAATGTTTCTCATATCTGTCATGCATCAAATATGTTGAATGTTTGGTTTCTTTTTATTTTCCCACTGTTACTTTTTAAGTTTAATGGTTTCTATGAGAGCTTCATTTGAGTCATTTTAATTCCCTTTACCTCCCTCTAACTTACATCATTGATACTTTAAACAGTTTAATTTTAATGTATTTGTTATTGTTTTATGTTATCAATATTCATTTAGAATAAACCATTTATAATTTTATTTAGCCTTTCATTCTTGCAACTTGTACAGTCCTGGAAATGTACACATTCTAGCTGAAGGGCACACTTTAGTATGTCACTTGAGGAAGGCTGATGGTAACATATTGGAAATTTTTGTCAGAAATCTTTATTTTATCAATTTAAAAAGATATTTTTGATAAGCTTAAATTTCTATGTTGACAAATATTTTCAGTGTACATTCTATGGTATTCAGTTCTCATTGTTTTTCTGAGAAAGTTAGCTATCAGCAGAACAACTTTTTTCTTTTCCTCTTCTTTTTTTTGGAGACAGGGTCTCCCTAGAGCCCCAGAGCTGCAGAGCTGGCCTGGACAACTCGCTGTGTAAACCAGGCTAGCCTAGAACTCACAGAGATCTTCCTGCCTCTGCTTCCTGAGTGCTGGAACTAAAGGTGTCTGCCACCATGCCTGACCCATTGGTTTTGGATTTTTAACAGTTGTTTGTTTTATATTTAGTTTTCTTATTTGGTTCTTTTAAAGAAAGTTTTCCTGACCCTAGAAGAGTTTTTATTGTTGTTGATTTGGTTTTAGAGTTCTTTGGCTTGCTCACATCTTTAAACATACATTTAAGCTTTCTATTAATTCCAGTGTCCCTAAAATCTTTATAGTTGTCTTCTTGTTTAAATGGTACTGTCTTTTTAAAAAAAAAAAAAAAAACCTTCTGATGGGTTACTCATTTTTATCTGGATAATTCATTATGAGAGTTGTTTGAGGTTTTCAAGGGGAAGTGAAAGCCTACAACATTAAAATCTTCTAGGATCATTTCAACCTAAATCCACAGCTTGATTAATATTTCCTTGGATTCTGAAGAAATGTGAATTTGGACTGCAGATTTCCATGAGAGCTTCCATTTGGTTAGGATTTTTCAGGGACTTTTCTCCTCTGTTAGATACAGAGGAGCCTTAAGTCTTTTGAGGACAAAAAGTAGGTAGGTGGATAGGCTTTGTTAGGCTTATACTAATAGATAAGTGCACTGTACTTTATCCTCTAAATATGCTCATTTCCCTATCACCAAAAACCTCAACCTTCCTTTTTTATTTTTGCACTTTGATTTCTTACTCACTGTTTCTCAAAAACTGTAATTTCCTTTTTCATTTCTTCTGCAACCTCAGTTGAAAGACCTCCTCTTCTGAAATCCTAATCCTTAGAATTCTAAGGGTCGCTTTTTCCTCCTACTATTTCCAAAGTTATTGTCCCTTTTTTCCCTCCCCTGTAGGATATTTTCCCCTTAATTTTAGCTCTTATCATTTTTTGTTTTGTTCCCTTTTTAGTGGAGCTCTCATCTGTAGGGCATCTGTGTCTACTTCAACATAGATAATTACAAGTCGGTATGCTTTTTTATAATTATTTTGAGTTTGCCTTGCTGTTTCCATATATGGGTATTTCCAGTTGAATGTCTTTCAGTTACCTCAAACTTGATATGTTCCAAACCAAATTTATTACTTTTCCACTAGAGCTGACTTCTCTCAGGCTTCTTAAAGGGAAGAACAGCATTTGTCTACTGTCTAAAATATACAACACTGTGCTTCAAAATTGTATAATGTCTAACTCAAGTTTTCCCTTATTTTCCAAAGAAAACTTTTCAAACTATCATAGTGAATCCTGTATTTACTACTCCTTAGTCCACTTTTATTTGTACTACTAGAGGACCCTCAGTAATTCATAACTTGTATTTTGTGAAGACAAAGATCTTATATCATGTTTGTTTAAACAGGATCACACTGTGCAATCCAGACTGACCTTAAATTCATGATCCTCCAGCTACAGTGCTGGAATTATGATGTATACCACAGTGTCTAACTTCTTTCTTTTTTTCAGCACAGTACCCCTTAGATACAGTACAGTTTCACACATATTTGATGGTTTTTCACATAGAAAAACTGCTCTAAATAGAGCCAGAATCTCAGCTTATTCCAGACCTTATTAATAGCTGAGCTCTGCTCTTTATCCTTGAACCCAGTTGAAAGAGCTCAGCCTCTGAGTTATCAGGGCCTTTTGTACTTTAGGGACCACCACTTGAAAACTATTCCACAACAATTCTGTTTAACTTATGATTTATTCTTATATAGCCATTTTATACTGCTTTGATGAGCATATTTATAGAAGGTAGTGTATTTATTGTAGCTTCTCTTTCTTACCAGGTGCACCAGGTATAATTTCCTCACCATATGCCGGGGCTGCTGGATTTGCCCCAGCCATTGGATTTCCTCAAGCTACAGGTGAATCTTTTCAGGTTGAATTTGAAATGATTTTTTTAAATAGAGTGTGTTTTGTTTTCTTGTTTTTTAAGGAGTTTACTGAAATTTGAGTCATTTTAAATGAAAGCATTAGGTATAACAACTGTAGAGGTAACTTGAGTGCATTACATCCTTATCTTTACACAGCTACCTTAGTGAACTCCAATAATTCCATTGCATGTTTGGAATGAATTGCTGTCTTTATTTAAGTTTATTACATATTGAACAGACTTGCTTTATTCATCTTTGTCTTCCATGCCTTTGTAGGGCAATATAGTAAGTAATATTTACTATTCAGCATCTTTGGAACACATTTTATCATTAATGAGTTCGGAAGATCACCATAGAAGGGTATTCATATCATTTACTTTAAGGGAAGCATTTAATTTCTAATTCATGAATATAACTGTGTTTTACGTGGTAGCATAGTTTCCTATCTGGTAATAATCTTTCTATCCTTATCTTCTAGTTCTGGGAGTTTCACCTAGTGTCTCTCCATTGGGGAACTCAAAAGGAGATAGGGATTTTAAGATTGAGGTTTAAGAGTTAGTTGTTTTGTGGTTTTAAATGTATTTTAAGTGACTGCTCTAGATAATCTTTTTTAGCGAAATAAACAAGTAGAAACATAGGTTTTACCTGTTTGAATCTCTGAAAGTTTAATTCTTGTGCATTTGGAATTGATAAATGTCTTCCTTTGTTTTAGGTACTTCTTTTAGATGCTGAATATTATAAAACACAATAATAGATATTAAGAAGGATTAAAATTCAGTAAAGAAGGATCCTAATTTGATAAGAGTATTTGGTTTTGTTTTGAGACAGGGTCTCTCTGTAGCCCCAGTTGGCCTCTCATCTCACAAATCTGCCTGCCTCTGCCTTCTGGGTGCTGGGACTAAAGCTGTATGCCACCACACCCGGCTAGTATAAAGAATTTTGGGGGGGGTGTCTTTTTGAGACAGGGTCTCCCTGTAGCCCCAGCTGTCCTGGAACTCACTATGTAGACCAGGCTGACCTTGAACTCACAGAGATACCCCTGCCTCTGCCTCCCAAGTGCTGGGATTAAAGGCGTGTGCCACCATGCCTGACCCTGGTGTAAAGAATTTTAAGTGGAAAAAAATCAATGAATTGAGGCTGGGGATGTAGTAGAGTGCTCGCCTGGCATAATGCAAGGCATATGTTTGCCTGTAAATATACATGTGCACTAATTGTGTACAGTACCTGTAGACGCCAAATGAGGGTGTTGGTTTCCCTGGAGCTGGAGTTACAGATGATTGTGAGTTCTATGTAGATGCTGGGACTTGAACCTGGGTCCTTTTCAGCACCTCTTCACTGCACCATTTTCCTAGCTTCCATACTTACCTTTTAAGCAAAGAAAGAAATAGTGGAACTTAAAGTGTTGCTTTAAATATAATGTCAATATACAGTATTATAGGACTTTCAGTCGTTCAAGAATATCTAGGGCAGAAGTCTAAAAAATTATTACAAAATAAGATAATTTGTTTTTGATAATAATGTGTATATAGCAATTTACAAGGTTAAAAATAGTTTTCCAAGACATATAAACTATAATGTAGTACCCAGCATGCATGTTTGTGGCTTCTGCTGAATGATTTTTAAAAATACTGGATTTTGCTGGGCATAGTGGTACACACCTTTAGTCCCACCACTCGAGAGGCAGAGGTGGGAGGAGCCCTGTGAATTTGAGGCCAGCCTGGTCTACATTGCAAGTTCCAGGCCAGATGGGGCTGTAGGGAGACCCTGTCTCAAAAAGACAAATAATATGCCGGACGTGGTGGCGCACACCTTTAAACCCAGCACTCCGGGAGGCACAGGCAGGCGAATCCTCTGTGAGTTCGAGGCCAGCCTGGTCTACAGAGCAAGGTCCAGGCAGCTGGGGTTACAAGGAGACCCTGTCTCAAAAAGACCAAAAAAATAAAAAATAAAATAAGACAACACATCATACAAAAATATATTTTTTGGGAAGAAGGAAATCAGTGAGATGGTGGAGAGAGGATAAGAGAGGGTGATGGAAGGGGGTGAGTACATTATCTGTGTGTATGAAAGTGACATAATGAAACTCATTATTTTGTACAATTGATATATACCAAATCATATGTATATTATTTTATTTATGGTCAATCTGAAAATTGCATCCACTTGATATAAAGATGCTATTCAGAAATTGGTTATAGTTAATAAATCTTCTGAGAAACTTAACAGCTTTTTTAAAGACCAATGAGTCCTGTTACTCTGCAAAAGCACAGTATGAAATGGTATTACAGATTATGTCAACAAATAAGGAACTCAGCTTCCAGACAAGGGAAGAAAGTTGGCCTTTGATGTCTTTTATGATAATCTTGACACATTTTGTTATGTTACTTAAGTTCTGTCAAAAGTTAGTCTCCACATAGCTAGAATATATGAAATACTTTTGGTATTTTTAAAGGTCTTTCTGTCCCAACTGTTCCTGGAGCCCTTGGTCCTCTCACACTCACCTCCTCTGCTGTAACTGGAAGGATGGCCATTCCCGGGGCAAGTGGTATACCAGGAAATTCTGTTCTTCTTGTCACCAACCTCAATCCTGATGTGAGTTAAGAAGTGTTCTACATGGTCTTTCAGGGGTGCTGTAGTAGCTTCTTGACCTATGGCTGTAGTGAAATCCTAAAGGTTGTTTTCAGGATTTTTATTAGAATTTATCAACATTATACATAGAAACATAAAGCAATGCTTTGAACAGAATCAGCTGTCTATTATGTTGTAAATAAACTTATTTTTACATTGTATTTTATTTAGCTAAGATACTTATATTATATATTATCCTTTTCAGTTTATCACACCACATGGGCTTTTTATTCTGTTTGGTAAGTTCATTTTTATTGTTTTCAGTGTTATTTGTAGATGTGAAATGAGCACATTTGATTCACTTAGTAATATTTGCTGATTACTTTCATATTCCTAGTAATATGTTTGACACTGAAGATATTACAGTGAATAAGACTTAGTAGGTAATTAGAATAAAGATTATAATCAGGGAAATAAAGGTTATAAATGGGAGTATAAAGCAGGGACCCCTTATTTCACTGACTTGTGAAAAATGAGGATTAGCCAACTGAGTAGACACAATGAATATCTGTTCACAGAGAGCAGTGAGAGATTTCCTAGTACCTGGCAGTGACCAAAGCCCAACAGAGAGTATTAATAGACATGTTGAAGCCAGACAGATGGACTGGGGCAAAGTCATGAAGGAATGGAACGCATATCATCAGGCTTGCTCAGCATTTTTAGCAAATGTACACAATTTCCCAACATGTAGAATTATGTCCAGTTTTAGAATTATTTCAACTAAAAGAAATACCTTATGTGCCTTTGTAGTGACACCAAACAAACTTGCAAATAGTGATACATTTTGTAATTTTTTCTAATATAATCTTGTAACTTTGTATGACTTTTCTGTTCAAAGCATGTGTCTTTCTAAAAGTAAAATTCTCTTTCTAAAAGTAAAATTCTCTCTTGTTAAAAAAATCTTTTGTGCTTTAAAGAGAAAATTGTATCTATTTAGGTTTGTTTTTTTAATTTTTACAAAAGCTTTATTGAGAATTTTAGTTTTTTAATGAATGTCTACTTCAGCCTCTTGTCATTGCTTGATAAAGAATACTTGACTTTTTCTTTTAAAATTTTCAAATTTATTTCTAGGTCAAAATTTGTCTTTTTAGGTGCTAGTAACCAGCTCTGTTTGCTGGAAACTGTCCTAGCCATTGCCCTTCTGCATTGGAAAGTGTGTAATAATGCTACTGTTCAGAGATTTCTTTTCCTCTTTTTTCTTTCTGATTTTTTGAGACGGGGTCTCGCTGTAGACCTAGTTGCCCTTGACCTCACATAGAGACTAGCATGCCTCTGCCTCCTGAGTGCTGGGATTAAAGGCATGCACTACCACATCTAACCCAGAGATCTTATTTTTATAATATGAATGTTATCTAGCCTTCAGTATATAAACTGCAATATAATACACTGACAGAGAAAAATGAGAAAATGCTTTTTATATTGTAGAATCTCCTGCCTTTAATTTTTATGTAGTAAAAATTTGTAAAATGAAATTTTTTTGTGTTGTTTTTTATTTTCTTCCCACACCCTGTTTAGTAATTTTTGCCTGTTCTCTGAGATGTAGGACCCACTTTGGGGAAAACACAAATAATGGAAAAATTTTGTGTAATGAGATCAGTTAGAAGGGTGTTAGGGTAGTCCTCACAAGAAATGGGAACAGTAGCTATAATGGTAGTAAGGATGGAAGAAGTGCACCATTGGGAGAGATGCTTCAACCGTAAAATGCAAAGGTACAGATGACTGGATGACTTAAGGAAAGACAGATTTCAGAAGGTGGTAGTGTCTGGCAGGAGCAGCTGTGTGAACAGTGCTACCATTTATCTTTATCTGGGGTTGCTCAACACTAGAAGTAGGAAGAGGTGAGGGGGCATGAGTCCATTGGGGACATACTAAAATTTGATGTGTTTATGGGACATCTGTGACAAATGAATAAGTTAATAGCTATGAAACTTAAGAGAGTGTCTGAAATTGCCATAGGATGGTAAATAGTAGGGAAAACCTATAAATACAATTTAAAACTATAGCTGTAGGCCTTAAACATGTTTTGTTTTGTTTATTAGGAGTGTATGGTGATGTACATCGAGTGAAGATTATGTTTAATAAGAAAGAAAATGCCTTGGTGCAAATGGCGGATGCAAATCAAGCTCAGCTAGGTACTAATATTGATGGTGGTGGTGATGACCTACTCCTTTTGTATTTAAATTTTACAAAATAAACAAATGCAAGTAGGAACATAATTTTGCAAGAGTGCTTGCTTCAGGTGTTGTTTTCATCATGGTTTGCACCTGCTCTAGTTTAGGAGCTGAAGTTCACTCAAAAATACTTGGTCACTGAAGGCAGAGGCAGGTGGATGGATGTCTGAGTTCAAGGCCAGCATGGTTTACGTAGTGAGTTCCAGGCCAGCTGGGGCTACAGGGAGACCCTGTCTCAAAAAGACCAAAAAAAAAAAAAAAAAAAAAAAAAGAAAGGCCAAAATAGATGCATGATCTAAAAAGAAACCAGACATTTATTTTGGAAATTAGGTTTTCTAGAACTGTTGAGTAATTTAAAAGTTTTGGCAAATTTTCCAATAGTGGTAAAAGATTGCAGCATTTTGTGGCCTCACTGATCAGCAGCTACTAAAATACTACTGCTCAGATTTCTTAAGAAAATGTTTTGGTTAAGAGACTACTGTATATTCAATAACTGTTCCTTGAGGGCTTTTTACATTTCAAGTACTCTGGAACTTCTTAGTACTCTGCTCAAAAGGTGGTTACTTTTGTTCAATTAGGCTTTTAAAATTGCTTTTGTTATAATAAATGACGTTATTTAATACATTTCCCTATGAGCTTTTGAATTTAAAACCTTTTGACCCTAAAACTGATTATACTATTAAGTGACTCAATGAAAAAAAAATTATGGTAACTTAGATATTAGTGATAACCTCTTTCGATATTCTGTTTCCTTCTTTTCTTCTATACACTATAGCAATGAACCATCTAAGTGGCCAAAGACTTTATGGAAAAGTACTTCGTGCTACACTGTCTAAACACCAATCTGTTCAGCTTCCTAGAGAAGGACAGGAAGATCAAGGACTAACCAAGGATTTCAGCAACAGTCCTTTGCATCGCTTTAAAAAGCCTGGCTCTAAAAACTTCCAGAATATCTTTCCACCATCAGCCACTCTGCATCTTTCCAACATTCCGTATGTACCTAATAAGTTACTTAGGTGATTACTAATATACAGTATGTAGTTTGGGCAAGGTAAAAACTCTGAAGTTGTTCTAACTTAAGTGTTTTAGTCAACAGTTTCTTGTAATGTTTCTTTTTGCTGTGAGGAGGTGGTCATATCTCCAGTCATACTTGCCAAAAGTGAAAATTATCAGTGTTTGAGAATCTCAAGATACAGAATGCCAGTAGTTGGCTTTCTGTTTTAAGAAGGCATAAAAATCAGTGTATTAGGTATAGGCAAAAATATTCCATTGATGCATATTTGTCCATTCCTTTGTGGGAAGTAACAACTCTTCTGTGACATGAGAAAATGACATGAAATATAAATTTGATATAAAGCCTCTGTACTCATTTATATAATACTGTCTAATTTGAGCCACAGTAGCAAAATTGAGTACTTGCAACAGAGATACAGTTCATGCAGTGTAAGATATTTAGTCTCTGACACCAAAGAAAACATTTGTTCTAATTTTTGAAATTCTTAATCTATAAAAATGGCAAATTTTGTATATTTTTAACTGATACATGAAGGGGTAAGCTTTGGAAGGAGTGCTGAAAGTTGTGGGAGTGTATATTTATGTATTTGTGTAGCGTTTAAAAAGTAAGGAATGGGGGCTGTAGAGATGGCTCAGCAGTTAAGAACACTGGTTGTTCTTGCAAAAGACTTGGGTTCGAATCCTAGCACCCACATGACAGCTAACAACTGTTGATAACTCCAGTCCCAGGGGATCTGACAGCCTCTTCTGACCACCATGGGCATTGCACAACATGGGTGCACTTACCTACATGCAGGGAATACATACATAACACATAAAATAAAAATAATAAATTTCTTTCTTTCTTTCTTTTTTTAATTCTATGTGTATGAGTGTATTGCCAGGTCAGAAGAGGGCTTTGGATTTCCCTGGAACTGGAGTTAAGGATGGTTCCATAGCCACCATGTGGGTGCTGGGAATCAAACCCACGTCGTCTGGAAGAGCAGTCAGTGCTTTTAACCGCTGAGTCATCTCTCCAGCCCAAATAGTAAATTTTTAAAATTTAATAATTTAAAAAAAAAAAAGTCTCCCTGACCCACAGGCCTCTCTCCAGGGTTAGTTGATCATGCCCTCCATACCTTGACTCCCCCAGACTCATTCACCCTCTCATCTATCCCAACTGTCTCTCCTCCTAGCCTGGGTCCTGTCCCATTCCTTGTCTTTGCCCCCCAGACACCTGGGGAACCACCATTGCTTCCTGATCCTTTGCATCCAAGCTAGCACAGTTCATTTGCATGTACAAGGAGCACTCTGGGTCTGGCCCCACCCTCACCTACGCCTACTTCCCTGGGCCTGCATGACCCGCCAGCCTCTTTCCTGGACACCAGGGCTGACCTTTCCTCTTTCTGATCCTTTGCATCCAGACCAACCCAGCTCCTCAGTGCAGTCCCCAGGGGCCTGTGGGGCCGCCTTCTGCCCCCATCTTCCTTTGCATCTCTGGGTGGCATGGTCACCAGCTGCCCTAGACTAGAATCTTTCCTGGGCTGGGCTCCCAGGCCAGTCCAACCCCCAAATTCCTGAGGCCAAAATCTATCCTTGAAGGATCCAGACCTTAGGAGAAAGCCTGAGAGCATCTGATCCTCCTCTGACTTGGGCCTCCATGGGAACTCCTGAAGACAAAAGCAATCTGGCAACTCCAATATAAAATCAAAAGAGAGAACTAGAAGCTTAGAGGAACCAGCTTTTCATGCCCCAAAAGCAAACCACAAAGACACATAAAGTTTACAAAAAGAAGCAGCCCTAAACTTGAAGGCTTGAGTCTCACACAAGAATCAGAAACTACAAAGGAAATTCACATGTCAAAATCACAGAGAAAAAATAACAACATGGAAAACCAAAATAACATATTCCCACCAAATACCAATAGTCCTCTACAGGAGTCCAGCCAGAATCCCCTAGAGATAATGCAGGACATGGAACTCAAAAGAACAATTATAAACATGATA